TAACAAAAAAGTTATTTATATATAGTACACTCGATCCACTTCTTGAGCAAATATACCAAGAGTTAAACTATTTGGATTTAATAGATGTTTAACATTCAAGAACACATCACACCTTTATTAGAAATGTAATTTCTAATGCAATTTGTGCCTCTCCAATCCGTGCAATAGCAGTTGCTAATTTTTATAAAATGATAGTTATGTTAAGAATATAGCTAAAAAGTTCCAAATGAAATACGATTTCAAGATAAAAGAGCGGTAATGTTTAAGAAAACATATATGCGCCGAAAATATGTTCCAGAGAAAAGACGCTATTATACTCAATGAGCATATTACAAAATATTAATATCTAAAAGTTATAGTACCATTCTGTATAAATTCTAAAAAAAATATCAATGATTTTTAAGTGTTAGAAATCAACTGTCTCCTTTCTCTTCCTAAACGATCTGAAAAATTTTGGCTTCGGAAAAAATTCTAAATCACTAAAGAATATTACTACTGTTCATAATTCATATCACTAATTAATTTCAATTAAGCAATAATGAAGTAATCTATACCTGCAATCGCAATTCAGTGGATTACCACTAAGAATGAGTGTTTTGAGCTTCTTCGAATAGTCAAAAAAATGCTGTGAAAGTGTCTGAATAACATTATCGGCCAAATTCAACATCTGAAGATTTGGCACATTCCATAATAGTTGCTGCTCCATGAAACCAATATTGTTAATCGATAAATCGATGTGTTGTAGATTGGTGAGATGATGAGAACTGAACTTAGGAATTGATTTCAAACGATTTCCAGCCAGCAATAACTTCCTAAGCTTCAGATTTCTGTCCAATATTCCCTGAATAATAGTTATAATGCGAAGAAAAACAAGTGAAATCATTATCAATCCAATCATTTTAATGCGTTTTTACTGATTAAAGAAAAATCAAAAGTTTACTGATGACTTATGTAACAAAAAATTTGAAAATGTTGATAACTTTATTAAGAAATGCCTCTTCAAAAGTATGAATCTGATTCCATGAAATCAACAGAAGTTCTAATTTCGCCAAATTCTTGAAGTCACTCCTGGAAATCTTCATCAATCGATTATTTCGCAGATCTAACACAGTAGTATTTGCCGGTAAATGTCGAGGTACAGCAAATAATAACTGTCGACGGCAGTCAATCAATCCTTCGTGGCATAAGCATCGTTCTGGACACTGTTCCACTACTGCTTTACTGTTTATCATTAGGATAAGAAATGAAATAAAGGATAACGAAGACATTGGTAGGACAACAATTTTGTTGACAGAAAAAAGAGTTCCTGAAGCTCTGAAAATAAGATTGTCCAATTGCATAGCTTACCTCATTCATACTTACTTTTTACTTGACTAGTCTGATGCTTCTAATGTTAGAAAAACTCAAAGTTACAGTTCTGAGAAATGTAAAAAAAAACTCTAAGTGTAAAAATTTAAGTAAAAAATTTAAGGATTTCTCGAAAACCCCTAAAGTTTGCAGAAATTCCAAAAACCCTCCTTCAGTACCAGGCGCAATGAAAAAATGTAAATGTCTTCCGTTCAGACTCAACAAATGGCTGTACGCTATCTCGTAGAAAATAAATCTCTCTTGAAGCTCTTTTCACCAGTTGCTCGTCCATTTCCCAATACGAATTGCATTTATTCTTTGATTGATAATGTCGAACTAACAAAATAAAACCTTCCACCCCTCTTTCTCTTACCTCTTCTTATTTCCGTCTTAAAATTTTTCAGCATAAATACAATAAAAGAAACTTTAGTGCCGACTCAAATGTTAACATGCTTTATTAAACATCCGTATCATTTTAAATTAAATTGAATTTTCACCGCGAACTTAATCCTTAAAGAAATAATTTTGTTTATATTCAGATTTGTAAAGGAATATTTGTTAATACTAATTCAACTAAGAATAACTGATGTCAAACATCTCACAAGTATGTAAGTAGAATTTTTCATGAAGTTCGTTGTTATTGGATGAGATTCTCATAATAATCGATTACTGACTCGTGTTTAAAAATATACCTTAACTTTAATTTTGATAAATCTACTAAGCACTGAATTTCTTTCCATAATTTCTATATTATCATACCTATAGCAAAACATGTAACAAACAAAATACATTGTTTACGATTTGCAAACAAATCCATATGAAATACAATTTTTGCTACAAATTGCCCTGCTTAAAAGAAATAATCTTCGCTTAGCAGGTTTTCCAAAATGCTTTAAAATATTAGGAAAATACAGTTTACAACGAATTCTTTTTAATAATTTAATCATTGTATAAATTCCATATTGATAATTTGGTATCCTTTGAACAAACAAACAGTAATCGTTGGCCATCAATTTTAGTCCAGCATAAACAATTGATGATTTCAGAGTGAAAATCTAGGACGGCTCGTATTGCTCCTGTTTTCACGGAATTTACACGCACAGTTCCATTCCAATATCCAGAAGCAAGCTCTTTGCCGCAATTTGAAAAGGATAGAGAAGAGCAGCCACCAGCTCTGTATTAAACTTTTTGTTAGAAAGAAAGAACATATGTAACGAAAATGTGTGGCGCTATTATTCTCAAACAATTCAATCTTCGCGCATTTCAAAGCGCTCTCACCAAAATATTGTGAAAATTTTCAAATGGTCTTAAAATTCGATAGTTTGGTCACAAGCTGCTTCACAAAACTACAAAAGTTCAGCAAAAAAAGAATGTGATCATAAACTATGAAAATATTACTAAACTAACAATAAACCTTCAGAGAAATATTTTTTTTTTTTTTTTATTCAAGAAATATTTTTTTATTCAAGCGTAATCAGATGGTCATTATTTTAGTTATCATTATTCTTAGCCCTTCGCAGAGTGCACATAAAATAAGTATTCCATTCAATAGCTAGTCATCCAAACAGTTTATCAAGAACTTACTTTTGAGGGAACAAAATTTCCTTCTCAACAACGATTTCATTTATTCTCACAGTGACCAACACCAATGGAGATTTAACAGATGACACGGCTAGTGTGTTAGCAAATGATGCACAAGCAAGAATAGGTTCGGGAAAAAACTTTTTCTGAAATACGCAACATGAATTGTTTGAAAAAATTGACTTACGAACATTTGGAATAAACAAAATTATTTTAAAAATCATCGACAAATTAATCAAAGAATCAAAAAAGTTAATTAGTTTCAAATTTACTACATACCTCACCTATAACACTGAAATCTTCAACATTCACAACTTTTATTTTTCCCGTTTCTAAACCACAAGCCAAATATCCATTATTAGATATAGAGAAGGCCATGAAAGTGCTAGCATCATCATCAGGAGACCAAAATCGAGACATCTGTTCTGTTTCGTCGGTAAAAACGCCGATCATACATTTGCTATTCTCAACATAAACACATTTTAAAAAAAAGGAAAGAAAATGAAATAAGAGATGAAATTGAATTGAAGTTACAAAAAAGAAAGACAAAATGAGCTAGAAGTACCTCAAGAAATGGACAAAATAATTGAGATTCATAACAAAATGAACCACAAAAGCCGTAGAATTCTGTTTTTATTATCCTTGTAAGACAGAAACTTAATATCTAAATAACAGAATTAAATAAGATCATTCTTACAAAAAAATGTTTTACTTAATTCAAGATCACATGTGTTAAAGAGATCGTTATTTTCCTGAATAATTCAGTATTCCAACTCTTCTACACAACGATAATGAGAAATTTTGACCTTCGAAGCTTTATCCACAGATACTAATATAATTGCATAAGCACGAATATGCACAAACAAGCAGTCTTTTGTAAATTGTCCCACCGCTGCTACTGAACGATTATTTGGGTCAACTGGAATATAGATGAAGTATGATGAATTACATACTGAATTCTTCCAATTCTTCTCATCAGTAGATAGTCAATGCAAATTACTCGGACGAACCATATAACAATTCAAACGTTTCCAACAAAAAACATGTCAAGAACCGATAAACAAAAAACATGTCAAGAAGCGATAAGTCTTCCATCAAATATGAAAATTTAAAACTCAGTTCAATAGGAAAATGTCTGTACTCGATGATGTGAAACCAGAAATATATTTCAAAAATAAGCACTTGAAATATCCTCTAAATACGTAATTAACATCTGCTTACCATTAAAACTTTAATTAACCTTTTCTTAATCTGAAAATATTTCTAAAGCGTTGCTTCGTTATACATAAAATATATATTCAAATCAGTACCTTGAGGGTTCGATGTAAATCCTTCCAACATTCATCAAAAACTTTCAAAATAAAGAATAGTAGTGAAATTCGTAATTGACAAAAAATATGTCTTAGAGAATATAGAAAGATTATAGTCTATTAAAGAACTAAAACTAACTGTAAATTATGGAGGTGCGCAGATGAGTTCTAGGTGAATAAAGCTCACACTTTCCATTTGTGGTGCCAACGGCCAAATAGGGTTCATTATTCACCGAAACAATTGCGGAACAAGAAATACCGCCAGCGAAACCGTAGTGAACAAATAATGGAAGCGGTTTTCTCATTGTTCTTGACATATTAGCTCATCGTATTCTCAATTTCTCATTCTTCACATATGTACCTGCCTACATCATACATATGCCAGAAATAAGTAGCACGACTATTCTCACGCGCATTTCGCATATATCGAACTAAACTACATTACAATCATAAGCTCTATAATTCCCGCAACACTCGCACCATGAGTGGCTATTCCTACAAGCAAACATAGCCGTCGTCCACAATTACGCAAATCAATCACTAGTGCTACGATTTTTAACAAAGCCCTTCATACTTTCAATCTCATTCCTAAATGTCACTGGAAGAGAAGAAAATTAGCGCACATTCATACTAGATAAATCATTCGTAGTAAAATACAACACAATTACAGATAACATTGTATATGCTTGCAAAATGATTTATTCTTTAATTACAAACTTTGCACAGAGAAAACAATCATAAAATTAATATTATCTGAGATCCTTAAACATTCTCCTTGTTTTCCGATCTATCCTGAAATAAAATACCATGATTTCTCCAACAAAAGAAAACTAAGAACGATATTTCATATAAGATTTAAAAATACGGTAGATTTTCCTCTTTTCTGAAAGAAATCTACCAATTTTCAAAAAAAAGATTTAAAAAAAGGTTAAAAAAAGAAATGCAACTGACATTACGCCAAATATACATAAGAAAAATGAAAGAATTTTTTCACCTTCTCCAGAAAATTACGAAAATCTTCGTTTTATTAAATTTTCCTAAGCAAGAAATAAAAACTGCCTTTTTACCGATTTATCAAAAAGCTTAAACTTGGATTCATTTACAGAAACGGAAAATCCTTTTATCATAGATATAAAATCATATTACTTATAATCACTTAATTTATAAAGTTTATTTGTCTAACACATATTTTTTGGGCATAAAAAGTAATGTTCATCATATAACTCGAAAGTAACGCAAAACGGAGCAGTTCTGCCATTACATCAGTTATATTTTTTTCATTCTTTGCCTTTATCTTTAAGCACATTCTTGTTCTCCTCATAAAGACGGATATATGTGTCTCATTCGGGTAATGTGTAATTAATAACTGTAATTATAATTGGTTCATAGAATCATTATTCATGATTATAACTTACAAATTTCAGTTGTTTAATATTATTTTTGTGAATAAAAAATATTTGTCACATAGTTTTGAAGTTTCTCTCATTCCTTCATAAAATTATTAGCTTGTGAAGTTTAACATTTATAATATGAAAGTTAATATGAAGTTTAAAAATTCTGCGAAAAAAAGAGTTGATTATATTTTTCTCACGACTACGATCATTCGTTACGGACTAAACAGTGAAGAAAGGAAAAAAAAACAAAACAAAACAAATACGAAAACAGTTTGTGACAGTCACTGTCGCTAAGACGAGCTTTTCGTAAAATAACTTTTTTATTTCATAAATAACTTGAAGTTTATTTTCAAAGTTTTTTACTTGAATCTAAAAAGCAAGAAGTGTGAAGCATCTGACAGTCTGTGAAGCAAAAAATGCCCTCAAAATTATCCTCCATCCAATCAAAAACCTTAAAATTAAGAAGGAATTAAAAAATAAGAAACTCACCGGTCGATATTCCATAATAATTTCTCGAACATGATGATCAATTTTCTTCTGCTGATGTGCCGATAATGATGGAACATAATCTCGTAATGACCCCAACACATCAGTACCTTCCTTTCGCGATTGTTGCAACAACTCATCAAATTCATGATTTGTTAAAACTGTTAGTATTGCCTGAAATTTGAAATTGCCTACTTGTAGCAGATCAAATTTTAAAGTATATAAATATGAAATTTTAAGATAACACTTCAAAATAAGAATCTATGTGTCCAAATTCGTAACTATCTAAATTTATTTATCAAAACGCTTAGTATTTGTTCCGTCTAAAAATGTCTAAAATTTGTTCCGTCTCAACCCCATTACTGTAAACTACTAAACAGGATTTTCTTATTTCATATCTCAAGGAAAAAAGAAACATTCTGTAATTTATCATATAAGTATTACGATTACATTTCGGAATACATAATATCTAGAGTTTCAAAGAAAAACACCATTTAACCCAGACCTCATGTTAACTAGCGAAAATATTCTTTGTTCCTTGCCGAAAAAAGCTTGAAACCATAAAAATATTGCACAATGTATTGCACAACAATTTCTCTGAAAAATTCTTTAAAAATAACTAACGAAGTAGGAATGTGGAGCATTTGCAACAGCACAGCGTACAAAATGAGGCCATAAATTAGGATCATTTTTCCATGGTTTTTTGTTCGCAATTTTCACCAATACATTTGAAATAAAGCCACCTAGAGCGGGAAAAATTTTATGTGAACGTGTAACAGTATAAAATAATGTTTCTGAGAAGATTCCATCATCACAAAGCTGATCAATTGCTGAACCAATAGCATCCTTTGTTGCCGTCAGTTGTGTTAATAAGACATCAATATCTGAAAATGCACTATGCTCTTTCATGGAATTAATCACAGTTGTTCATCTCCTATTTAATGGGAATACAAGAACTGATAAAACAAAAGGCGTTAATAAAACATGCAATAAAATTCAAACAAGAATTACCAAAATATCATCCTACTATTCTTAGTAGTCTTCATCACGCTTTCCCTTAACAGCCATAAACTAATCAATATTACCAAATTATCAGAACAATATAACCAGATCTCGAAGAAGGACAGTGTGGCTGTTCAGTATAAATAAACACTAACTCTGCAACAATAAATCGTTCTCCTCTTTGTTTTCAGCACAAATTTTGTGCAGCGCCACAAGTAGTTCACCTGCACCCATTGGATGAAGGCCAGTTTTAATACCTAAAATTTACCGAACAAAAGGATTGATAAATACGGTAATTAAGATAACCTTAGTTCCTCGAAAAAATTTTAACTTTGGACTTACTCCTTCCAGCCAAGAGTTTGTTGAATACAATAGGTACTGATTTTTGATTAACTGGCGTGAGAACAAACTTAGGCAAAATGCTCAATATTTGATCCTGAAAATTTACATTGAGCGGCATATATAATAACTCGCCAAATCAATACGAATCCACAAACATGATAAATAGAACACCTTCCTAAGCATATTTTCAATCTTTTTCGTCAAAAATATTCTTCCTTCTTTGCAAGATCTGACAAAAATGACTGAAAACAAGGTTATAGCTAAAGTTAACGTCAAGGTTATAGCTAAAGTTATCGTAAATTATCTTTTTGCAAAACTATACGTTCCCTACTTACAACACCATATCTAAATCATAACCTTATCGAGACCACTCAAAACTGGTATCATTGAGCGAACATCGGTTCTTCCCTGTTCATACAGAGCAGTTATCCTATTTACAAGATCTTGAGTTGGAGGATCTATAACGAAGAGTAAATTAATTTCACTGAAACTATAAAAGATTTCAAATAGCAGTTGTTCGAAAAAAAAAAAGGTTTTTTAAAAGCACATCATCCATTAACAAACAAATAAATTGCAAACGCACTCCTTTCAGTGAGAAGATGTACTATTCTAGCAGCGAATGTTTCAGCTCCTTGTGGACAATTTTCAATCATTTCTAAAAGATGCTCACTTGTTGCACCCATTGACTTTATAGCACTATCAATTGTGCGCAGTGTAACCTGAAAATATATACAGATTTCTTCTTTCGAAGCCATAAAATCTTCTAAAAATTCAGTGCATCTCTGAACTGTTTTAATTTCCCAAACTTTTGAAAGGTTGTTAAAAATGATCTCCAACAAAAAAAGAACAACTTCAAAACGATCGTCATTGATCCATGGATTTACAGTGTCACCATTAATCAGTGGAGCAGAAAGGATATACCTTAAGCTTATTTTTTCTTTCTCTCGAAAAATAGCTTGAATTCATGAATGTTTAAAAAAAATCTTTAAACTAATCTTTTCCCCTAGGCATAATTCCATTTTTCTTCTTCTTTTACTCCACAAATTTAATAGATTACAAAAATATATGAAAACAAAGGTACAGTGAAAACCAGCTTAACAAGAATTTAAGTTTTACTCGCTTGATATCATTTGAAGATTTCGCATAAACAGCAGCCAAAGTATGTATCAGTGAATGGTCAAGAGGAAGAATGGATAAAAATAAGTTTAAGGTAATGCGTATTGATGCGTCATCCCAGTCAGATGTGGTACTTTCTTTTTCATAGGTATTAAGTTGCGCAGGCGGGACTGGTCTTGTGCAATAATTTATTGAAGAAACCAAATATTCCCTGACATCTCCCCTGAAAAAAAAGGAATTTTTCGAAAATTCAATAAATAGTAATTATAATTCATAATGAGAAATAGTTGCCTGACGTAATCGATCTGATATAGTTCTTTCGCCGTTTCAACACTTTGTGTACGGACATCGGCTCTGTCATTATATGAAAAATCTAGAAGTATACACAATAATTCATTTCGTTGTCTTGCTCGAGTTAAAATTAGTTCACGTAATGTTGTCATTCCAAATGCTCCAAATACCTGTAATTCTTTAAGATCTATTTCCGAAAAAAAAAGGACCGGAAGATTACCAGTTATTAAAAATTTTGCTATAAAGGACGAAAAAATAACACCTACCGAATCAAGACAAGCAGTTCGTAACCATACAAGAGACTGCGGTGTTAGCAAAGGTGCTTCTAGTAAGATCTTATGGAATAAACTGTAAAAAAATAAAGTTAAATTTACAGGTACGTTAGGATTTCTGTCTTCACAATGCAGAGAAATGATGAAAGTTAAGGAATAAGAATGATCACGTTTCTTTGTGTTCTCCTCGTTCATATAATGTCCTTAATAAATTGCACAAAACTGCATCGTAACGTTTGTAACGCTGAGATTCATTGTGATATCCATCTGTGGCATAAGAAGTCCGGCATACGGAATACCTGAATAATTTAATCCGTTTCTTTTTTATTAGACTTATAACAATAAACAGGTTAATGTAAATGTAATTCTGCATAAAATGAACAAGAAACATAAATATATAACTTCTATATATTTATTTCTATTATATATATATATATATATATTAATATAAATTTTTATTTTATATTTTTGTAATTTCGACCAGAAACTGTCAACATAAGTACCCTTGATACTGCGCATAAAGTTCTGCTATCCACAATAATGCCAGTTCAGTTCGTGACTTCTGTTCTTGTACAATAAACATCATGAGTAGATTTTCAAAGTCATCACATGAATCATGATCGAGACGAGTTACAAGCCTGATCAACAATTTCTGTTGTGCAACACCTACACCGCCTTGAATTGCTCTTTCTATAAGTAACAAGTACTTCATACAGCTCATACAAAAAACAAAAATTTTACGAAAACAAATGAAAGACAAATTAATACAAATGCAATCTGCACAGAAAAAGCAGATATAAAATACACTGAAAAACACTCGGTTTGCACCTTTCCCATGTGTCTTAAAAAAACTGTTAACAGTTCCAACTGATTTTAGACTGCTTTAAACACTGATAAATCTAACTGAAAAAGCTGAAATAAAGAAGACAAAGAAGTACAAACTTTCATTGGCTAATATCCTTTGAAATGCAAGAAGAATAAGTTTCAGCGATTGTTCTCGATCTAATTCTTTAGTAATAGAAAGCAATCCAAACTGAATCTTTGGTCTAGTTTTTGCTGACAACGCCTGAAAAAAAAAAAAAACTTAACATGCAGCAGAAAAGCAATTCGAACAGCGCGCAAAATAATAGACATTTCGCAGTAATCAATTTCAAAACAAATAAATGATAGTACAGATTCAGATTGCTGCGCTTGATTTTGCTGCACAGAAGGAAATTGATGCAGTGGAGCGGATGGGATAACGGCACCTTCCATTTTTGCGGCTTGACGTGCTAAAGCAATTTTATTTATCATCTCTTCACGATATGTCAATGTATATAATAAAGTGCTACTGCAAACTAAACGACGAAATTGGTTCAGCTTTCTCCAAAATAAAAATGATTATTAAATTTAATTCATAAGAAAATTCTTAAACAATATTCAATTCTCTATCACTTATTCCTATTATTTTTGTACTATTCAGTGATTATAAATCTGGAAAAATAACCGATATACTGTTGTTTTTCTGCCCGAATTTTCTCGATTCCTGGACCTAACTCCATGTTAGTTAACTGTGTCGCAATCATCCGTGATAAGTGCCGAATCTGACTTTCCGTACCAGCTGCAGCAATAGGAGTGTATGACGACTGGAATGCTGCAGGCATTTCGTCCGGAAGTGTTACCTGAAAGTATAAATTAAACCTTTTCTTCAACGAGATGTTCCACTTTAGTTAAGCAGAACTCACTGACTAACATATGATTCGCAGTGTAGCTAAGAAACTGCTGATGACATAATTAACTCACAAGGGATGTAAGAACCAAGTTTGTAACCAATTTTGGTTTCAATCGTTCGTATACAAATTGGGCAGTAATATCAACAGCAAACTGGGTTTGACTTTTTTCGATCGGTATGCTTGGACCAGCCTCATCTTCGTATTCCTCATCATCTTCCTTTTCAGCAACTGCCAGAGTTTCTCCGATACCCTTCAGAAATGACACAAGTCAAATGAAAATATTCAAAAAAAATATATATATATATATATATATATATAATAATGCTAATGTAAATCAATAATCCAGCTGTCGACTTTCAAGTTTGTGTGTTTTTGGCCAATTCAAGCAATGATAATATTTCATATAAATTAAAATGATGGTCCGCGCTCCAACAGCAGTTACTTCTATAAAAATCTTACTTTCATTCTCTTTGTTTCCGGTTCGTCGCTACTCTCATTATGTCGATGAGACTTTTTACGCTGTTCACTCGCAGAAGGTAATGCGCGTAAAACCTCCTGAAAATCGTTGCAAAACTAAGTGTTGAAAGAAAAAATTAAAACACATTATTCTTATTGTGGCATTTTAACTCCATATTCAGTTCTTAAAAATAGCTTTGTCCAATGATAGTATTCTTTAAAATGAACTTGAAATTACCGATTGCGCAGCTCCTAAATCTGTTAATAATGTCATTATTCTTGGGTGAAATGGAACGCTACTAGAATGTCGCAAAAGGCGTAGAAGATGCATTTTTAATTCCTTGCGTACACTTTTCACTTGACTTGTTGCCAAAGTTGGAGGAAGATTAACGTGTAAAGATTCCAGAGCTCCTAAAATTTCAGTATATGATCAAAAAGAATTTAAAACAATTAGCAAGTGTATATTGCAGTTCAATTCATAAATAAAAGAAAGAAAAACCTTTAGGACATTTCATAGATATTTATTTCTGGACTAATAACTATTGAAATGAGCAGAAGTAGAAATTTTTTAAATAAAATGTACAAATTGAATGCAATAAATTTCAAAATTCATACCAACAACTCTTTGCATAAACTGTGGACGCTGTTGAGCGATATTACAGATACAAGTTAGACAAGTTAACAAGTTAAGCGAGGATATATGTGCCGAAGAAATATGATCAAGCAACGAATTGAAATTTAGCGTCGCTTCACTCTCCATTTTACGATATGAGATAAATCGATGGTCGCGACCAATCTCGTTTAAGCACATATTATCACCACGACCTTTTTCACTTTCCTAGATAAATTTAGTGAAATATAAGAGATAAGAGATAAGTGTAAATGAAAGCATACATCAAATTTTTGATGCTAAAATATCCAGTTCTAACAAAATTACAGAATAATTACAGAAAAATTATCTCACCTCAGTTCGCAGTGTTTGAGCAAGGATTACAGCTTCCAAAAATCTAATAGTTTGAGTGCGTATGCTGTAAATGTTGAGTATCTATGAAATGCAAAATAGACAGGAAGTTAGCTAAAACAAAATCACTTTTAAAAAAATAGAAAAAATAAGACTGCATACCAATAATAAATACTATAAAAAAAACTACACCCTTCGTTATCAGAATCAATGTGCTGCATGATACGTCCTTTCAGTACTGAGAAAGCTTCCCAACATCGCGCAATCTCAGCACTACGTGATCCAGCTGCCCATTTTAAAATAAATGGATATAACTGCGAACATACTGTGATTACCTTAATAACAGCACATCATGGGACTTTCAAAGAAGGGAAAAAAAAAACAATTCAAAAAAATGAAAATTTAATGAATTTGTTACACAACAATAAATTTAAAATGCAAGTGAGACGTCGAACCTTACACATTTAAATTACTGCTACTGTAAACACTATTCCCCTATATTAAGTTTGTATTGTTGTGTAATAATACATAAACAAAATTTCACCTTTTTGATAACGGCAACCATTCCCACACCAGCAGCTTGAATGAGATATGATAGCGAGACAACAGCCTTTTTCATTACTTCGCAATCCTTTTTACTATAAATAAATAAAAGTTATACAAAGTGGTCTGCTGGAACTGTGAAGCATGAAATGTGAATATTTTAGACCATAAACAGAAATTCTTGATGTACCAAGCTTTTTCAATAAAGGATGCAACGAAACAACGCATTTTCGAGTCATTTTCCACTACAAATTCGAGCATTTCATCGAGAAAATTGTCAAGAAGAGAATTGCTTTTATCTCTATGTAGTAGCAATTCTTGAGCCTACAAATATTTGTAAAATTAAGGTACAAATAATATGTTCTCAATGAAATATGCAATTTGGGATAAATTTAAATTTCACTCGATATTAAGTGGATTTGCAAATCATTAACATGTTTTTAATAATCTAAGCAAAATTATCCTGAACAAATTCAAAAAACCTGATGTTGTTTTAATTCTTAATTGTTGATAGCTTAATTTAACTGTTAATTTAACTGGAAACAAACACATAATAAAGAATTAAATCAATTCTTAACTTCCATAATCCCAACTTAACAGTCTAACAAGACTAATTTCAAAGAGTAATCTCCTGTGTATTCACTGTTTGCACTTTCCTCACTCCTATTCCTATTCCTTTTGCTCTCATAATAATGAATTAAAAATAAATACTCTGTAAAGATGCTTGATGCGAATATCCACTGATTTACCGGACGATTGATGCGCTTCACGTATTTCATTTCCAATCTGGAAATAATTTCATCCAAAACTTTAATTTTTTTCTGATGATAGCACATCTAAGAACATTTCATGTTTTTAACACGCTAGAAATTTGCTTTGGAGCGAGAATTGAGAAAGTTTATAATGAAAGAATAAACTTACCTCTTCGCTTGTATTTTCACTATCTGTCATCTTCACTATATTCCAACGATTCTTCTTCGAAATTAACTCCTTCCTCTAAATAATTACACTTCTATGCATATCTGATAAATGAACAAACTTAAAAAACAGTAAAGCCACTTTTTCTGTTAGATCTTTATCTGGAATTACAAGTAATGGATAGTAGCGATAGAAAGGCGAAAGGGACAAATTAATGTTTTGCAAATGTACTAATCTCTAAATTTTTGAAGAAAAAAAAATTTGAAAGGCAAAAGAGAATCATTAAACCCTTAAGCCTACGCCAATAATAGGCTAACACTCAACACTAAGCTTCTGCAATCAACTAGACGTATTTCACCAACCTTAATTTATTTGCTGGTTTTTGGCGATTTACGTCTAAACCGAAATGTCGGCAGCGGGGTTTTGCTAATGGATGTGGTTAAGCTGCGGTCTTTTGGTGGAAAGGTTTGTTGTACTGCCTAATATGTACATATTTTAGGGCATGGCTAGTACTAATACCGATAGGGTCAATTCGAATTTATTCGAGACGATTGGCAATAAATTGAGTAAGCTTGATTTCAATATATTCTGAGAATTAAAATATTTATTGTAGCTCAGTCTCTCTAGTGAAGCGTTTATCCCTCAGACGTGTTCACCATCTTCAGATGTAATTTGTGGTCGTCAGTTCTAGCAGAGAATATATGGAAAATGAAAAAATTAGTTGAAATGAGTGCTGAAAATTGGAAAATGATCATTTAGATACAGTTCGGTCGAATCGCTCATTAGTTGCTGCCAATCAACAGCTTCGAATTCAGCTCGCATTCTCCAAAGCAGAGATCAGCCGATTACAAAATGAAATCGTTGACTTGCAGAGACAAATTGCAGGATTGGAATCAACGAATGATGAAGAACGCATCGAAATGATTGTAAGGAAACGATTACAGGTTTGTTTTTACTCTTTTTTTTGGAGCATGAAGTTTGGTTTTGGTGTTGTTTTTAGACTTATGAATCGTTGCACTAATTATTTTTAAATTTAGACGAGTTCATTGGGAGAAAAAAAGCTGAGTAGAGTAGTTGAGTGTTGTATAGTTATTTGACTAATTTCCTTTTTTTTTCTGCAAGAAATCTCAGCAGTATCTTTATACGCATGTTTTTTATTTTAAATTGAAGAAAGAACTGCAAGGACTAAATAAAGAATTAATTTATTCTGCAGCAAAGAGTGCAGCATTTGAAATCTATAGCTAGCCGTACTGTGCAATATATGAAGAAAACAAAAGAAGATTTTGATCATGCAGCAAATCGCCTCGATCACGCTCTGTTAGTAAAATGTTGCTTGTCAGTGAATCTTACTGCGTTCTACTTTCTCTGCGATAAAATGTGGCTTTTTAGGTTGTGCAGTAATTTCAATGGGGATGACGTTTGTAAAGGCGAATGCAGTCAAAGTGTTGTAGTACCATCTACGTGCGAGACAGGTCTTATTATCATGCTTCAAAGTTTATCAAATTTTATATGAATTTCTATACAATTGTTTTTATGGGCATAATTTAAGAAAACGAAATTACTGGACGTCGTGTGCAGCGACCACCTGTTCTTGAAGCTGTGGAGGAAGTGAGTTATTTGCTTCTGATTTTTCTTGATTTAGTCTAACCGTCAACGTGCATTTCATCTTTACAAGTTGATATTATTTCCAGTATTTAGGATATTTACGGTGAAAAGGACGAAAATGAAGACATTATTTCCAGTAGAGGTCTAATCATGCCTGTAAGCAATGATGGATTTGAGCCAACGCCAGACGGTCACAAATCTAACCGTAACAGTCGACGACAAACTTTTTTTATCAAAAAAGAGCCTCATGAATTTGGTCAATTTTCACCTATATAATAAAACTTCGGGAATTTTTTCAAATATTTTTGGATGCTTATTTTTTATAGAATTTTCAGCATCTTTTGATGCAGAAATTTTTTATATATTTGTGTATTTTTAGAAAATGATGTCGGAGCTTCTTTTGTTGAAGTATCTTTTCCTAAAACGAATCAGGCAATTTCACCTTTCTTAATTCAGAACGATGAAGGTCGTTTATTCTTATGAATCCGTCCAAGATTATTTTTGTCTTAGCTTTTAATTTTCGCTTAAAACTTCAAAGATTTGAATCCAATAAGACTAAAGCTGTATTTCAGATTCGTCCACTGCTGTTGTTCTGACGGAACATATAACGCCTACCGTAGTCCCTGCACGTGGTTCACTCACAACATTTCCTAAACTTGAAACATCTACTGAGAAGATTTCATCTTTCTCACCTCAAAACCATGAAGGTAATTCATCCTTATAAGTTTGTCCAGGATTATTTCACTTTTAATTTTAATTTTCTCTTTGATTTTTGAAACTCTGTTGGTAAGCAAAACCAAATTATATTACAGATCCACTAGCTGTTACTGTTATGATGGGACCTATGACGCCTACCACGATCTCTATACCTAAAATTACCACCATACTCCCTAAACCTGAAACACCAACTACTCACTCTAGATCAAAACTTTGTATATCGAAGGCAATGCATGATGAAAATACCGCAGCGAAAAGCAACCAGATCAAGGAGTCGAAAGTTGTAATGCATGCCAGAAAGAAAAGGAAAATTTTAACTAGTGAACCAAGGTATGTTAGTTGTTTGCAAACTTGAACAGTATTGATTAGAAGTATTTTGGTTTTTTTTTTTCGTTTGATCCTTCACTGATTGCAGAAAATGTAAAATGAGTTTGGAAAATAATACAGAGATTACGGAAGAAATCAACAACATTCTGACAACTCCAGCATCTACACCATCCACTTCTATTCTGAGCGTAGCAAATTTAAATGAAAGTGTCCGATATAAACGTACTGCTGCAGCGAAGATATCATCTTTCAAGGAACCAAACTTAGTAACTAAAATGCGCAATCCAAATGTTAATTGAAAATTTTGGTGTAAGTATGAAAAGGAAAGAAAAAGATCTAATCTAGAAAAGGATCTGTATAGTGTATTTTAAAAAGATAATTCAAACAGATGATTTTTAACTGTTCAGTTTTCTGTTTTTTATTTATTATATATATATTTTGTTCATTTTCTAGCTATATTTGTTCAAATGGACGAAACGAAGCAAGCTTTTCTTATATAGTTTATGTGTCATGTGTTTGATTGCATAAAATGAATTGTTTCCTTAGGAATTCTTACTGGAATCTGCACAGCCTTATTGAGTTATTTGTTTGGTTTATATAGGTTATTCTTTGTAAATACCCTATAAAACGACCTACTTGTTTTTTAAATATGAGGATAAACTTCCAGTGCTTAAAGTGTTTGTGAAAGATAATCTTCAACTTGAAGTGGAAATGGTCTGGAACTTTGCATTCAAGGGAATGTGAGACCTGGATTATGTGCGACCTGAATTGTCATTCTCAAGTCTAATAGGTTAAAGATCATATTCGTTGACACAGTCATGTAGTGTGATGTTTCGATGCATCATTTTAGTTGCATCATTTTGTGGTGTTGAACATAACAGAGCTATGCTGATTTACTTCGATAATTCGTAGACTGGAATGCGAAGAAACGTTTTTTTTTTTATTTTTCTTATTCATTGCCTATATCCTTTGAAATTGCTGGCATTATCTTTACAGAGCACCTTGATTTCATTTTTATTCGTCAGCTATTTATCGTTTTTTGAATCTAAACAAATGACTTTCGAGTTTGAATTTTGTTTTGAAAATCGTTTAGAAAAATGGACTTAGAAATTACATGGTGAGCAATTGAGTAACATTGCAACTGTTATTATCCCGAATGTAACTTCCGAAATGTAAAGCCATTTACAAATAAAACCCTTTGAAGATATAGGAAGAAGTTGCTTCACTGCTTGTGAAGAAATTACATGTTGCAGATTACTGTCCGGAATCGCCGCTGCAGTTAATGCTCGAAATAGGTGTACCCCACGTCATCTTCCAGTCGGGGAGTGCGCTGAGTGAAATTTTTTATGATGATGTTAATAAAAAGGTACGATAATAGAGAGAAATGAATAAATTAGGAAAGAATTAGATGAATAAAGAGTGAAGTGTAGCATGTAAAACTGCTGAGCTTACTGAGGTAGCAGCGTTGCGAAGAGAGAATTCGTTAGTTTTTTTGTTTAGATTGTAACGGTTCGTGGCGAAGATGTCGTGGAAGTAAAGGCTTGTGGACTAGAATCAGATGAGATCATTTCATTTCGGTGATTTTAATTTCCAAATTCGAAATAAATGTTGGATATTATTGCTGTCCTTTTTTCCCATTGAATTTTTTCTTTCGAATCACATCCGATCTTCAATAAATGCAGTCGATTGCATCCCATTTTTAAATTTATTGTCGCAAATGTTATTTGGAATTGGTTTCCTATTGAGGCAAATATTTTATAGTAATTCTCTTTGTTGTAAATTTCAGATTGAAGAACAGGAATAAAATTCGAGCTATTAAATTTTCTCCAGACCAACGCTTGATATGTGTGCAGTATGATGAATCTACTGTTGTAATGACTGAAATTTTAATTTTAAGGATAATTTAGGGTGCACAAAGCACATAGTTCCAAAATTTTTAATGTTTACATTTCTGGAAAGGTAACAATGTGATGTTCAATTCATAATTAATAAAATTTCAAGTGCTCTATAGTAAATTTAAGTTAATTTTCTGAACTCGGTTTTTCAACAAATTTAATAATTAAAAAATGTCTTAGGTCCATATCAGCAATGATTCTGTGATACTTTTGTCATGTTAATATATATATATATATATATATATATATATGTACCTTATTTTAAGGATTTTATAAACTTCACAGCGCTTAGTACTAACTCTTTATCTACATGTTTCTCACAGTCAGCGAAAAATTGTTCAGCACATATCATCGGCCTGGAGTGGATCCTGAACAGCCAGATCCTGTTTATTACAAACCAGGTTTCTGTTAACATTACAGTTTGCTTCAGTTCTTATAATTCGGAAACTCGTTTTTTTTAGTTAAAAAATTTTTTTAAGAAGGAAATTG